TTGCAATCTATGAATGGAAATTCATTTGATTCATCTTAGAGGAACAATTACCAATGGAAGTTGGATTTGCTTTTCCAATCTGAGTTAGCAATCAGAATTTGGGGATTTTTTAGGGATAAAGAGACCTAATTCTGCAATCTTAAGGTTCTAAGTCTTAATGCAACTTGAAATTGAACTTCATCTAAGGGATTGGGGTGGTTTAGTTGCTTGTTAGGGTCAATGAGTTAAGGAATTAACCTTTGGCTATTGCTATACGAAACTGATTGTCAATTAACCAAGTTCTTGAATATTCAGAGGCATAATTGAATTAATACTGATATTCTTGTGAAGTAAATTCCTAACTATTCTTCATTCCTATCTCATTTCATTACATACTCTATTTTTCTGCAAGTTCTTTGCTTTAATTGCTTTGGTTTACTGCTATTACATGTTACAAATCTCATTCAAATTCGTATGGCTCAAATGGTTATAATTCTGTGAAGTGGTACTTGAAATCTAAATTCCCTGTGGAGACGATATTTGGATCTTAATTTTACTCATTACATGCTACAATCCTAGTGCACTTGCTAGTGTTAGATTGTCAACAACAATATGCACGGCCACGCTGATGCTGCAGAAACAAAATAAGAAAAGGAAGAAGCACCATCAACAATGTCAAGGCCTCAAGAACTTCGAACCCTTTTCCACAAAGGTTGAGAAGCAATCAAAAGGACCCATAGTTCAACAAATTCCTTGACATTTTGAAGAAGTTGCACATCAACGTACCCTTTGTGGAGGCCATCTCTCAAATGCCTAAATATGCTAAGTTCCTCAAGGAAATATTATGCAATAAAAGGAGGTTAGAGGAATTCAAAATTGTAAGGCTTAATGAGGAATGCTCCGTAATCGTTTTGAAAAAGCTACCCTCAAAACTCAAAGACCTAGGGAGTTTTACTATTTCTTGTACTATAGGTAGCTCTCATTTTGATAAAGCCCTATGTGATTTAGGGGCTAGAATAAATCTAATGCCTCTCGCTGTTTTTAGAATGTTGGGTATGTAAGAACCCAAACCTACCTCTGTTTCTTTGCAGTTAGCAGATAGATCCATCACTTACCTAAGGGGTATAGTAGAAGACATCTTGGTAAAGGTAGACAAATTCATCTTCCCTGCAGATTTTATTATACTAGACATGGAGGAGGATAATGAGATTCTCATTATTCTGGGGAGACCATTCTTAACCACTGGGAAGACGGAAGACCATTATAGACGTCGAGCAAGGGAAGCTCACATTGAGGTTAAATGATGAAGAAGTTATTTTTAAAGTTTTTGATTCTCTTAAACACCCTTCTAGTTTTGAAGAAATTCTTTAAATATATAGTTAGTTTGGCATTTATGAATTTTCTGTGTAAAAATTAATAATTGAAGTGTGTTTTTGTAGAAAATTCTGAGCAAAGTCCATGAAGCTGGTAGATCAATGGAGAAATAGCAGCAAAGTAGCAAGTCTGCACTCAAAAAACATGGCCTATGGAGTTTAAGCTGGGCATGGTTACTCTTGCCAGCGAAAGTGAGTGATTTATAGCTTAAATAAGAAGTTGAGTGTGGGCGTGATCGCTACTATCACTGAAAGTGAACGTTCCAGAGAAGTTCAATCTCAGCAGAGCTGTTCATTACCACTCTCGCCAACGAATGTGAGCGTTTCAGAGAAGGTAGAATTTCAGCAAGCTCTGCGTTACCACTCTTGCCAGTGAAAGTGGATGTTCCAGAGAGGAGTGTATCAAGGCAAGTTGCGCGTGGTCACTCTTGCTCTCGAAAGTAATCACGCACACTCCTAGACCTCCTGCGTTGCTACTCTTATCAACGAAAGTGAATGTTCCAGTCTTCTAGAAACCATATGAGCTTTTGCATGGCCACTCTTACCAACAAGAGTGACAACGCACAGAATCGGGATTTCTATAAATACATGTCTCAAGGTTAGAACTCAGGGTCTTTTGTTCATTTTCCATTTTTCCTGTTAGATTCTCGTTGGGAGAGAGTGAGAGAGAGGAGTGGGGTTGAACCTCGAAGCTTCAAGAAGAGGGATTGGATAGGAGCTCATGGATATGGCTTTTCTGAGTTTTTTCTCTTCTTCTCCTTCTTTCTCTTTCTCTATCACAATGTTTGTGTAATTCTTTGTAGTTAGGAGTTTATGGAACTCGAATTGATGTATTGATTTGATTCTTACTTCTAAAATTTGAGTTTTTGGATTAATTGAGTTGTCAATTCTGCACTTTATGTAATCTTTAAATAGAAATTCATTTGGTTAATCAAAGAGGAACATTTGCCAATGGGAATTGGATTTCATTCTCTGATCTAAATTAACAACCAGAATTAGGGGTTTCTTAGGGATAAGTACACTTAGTTCTAAAATCCTACGATTCTAACTCTCAATGCAACATGAAATTGAACTCCACCTAAGGGATTAGGGAGGATTAGTGGATTGTTAGGGTCAATGGGTTAAGGGATTAACCTTTGACTAGTTATATGTGAAACTGATTGTCAATTAACCAATTGCTTGAATATTCAGAAGCATAGTTGAATCAATATTGACATTCTTGTGAAGTAAATTCTTAACTATTCTTCATTCCTATCTCATTTCATCACAACTTTCATATTCTGTTTTTACTGCAAGTTTAATTCTTTGTATTGTTATGGTTCATTGCCTTCATATGTTACATCCTTTCCAAATTTGTATGACTCAACTAGTTTTTGCTTTGTGAATTGGTAATTGAACTCCTAATTTCCTATAGAGACGATACTTGGATCATAAATTTACTCATTACTTGCTACAACTCCTAATGCACTTGCTAGTGTTTAGAATTGTAACAAGTTTTTGGCGCTGTTGTCGGGGAATTGAGTTTCAATATCATTAGTAACAGAAAAATTGCTAGATTGAGTTTTGTTTTCTTAATTTTTCTCTATAGTTAGTATTATATTCAAGTACTCTATTCTGATTTTTAAAGATAAGTGTAAGATACAGTAGATAATTTCTGCATGATTCTGCAATTTTGCAGTTGTTAGACTTCAATTTTATATGCTTTTGCTGATATTTTTTTGCATAATCTTTGTGAGTGTATATCTTACGATTGAGTTTTAGTTTAACTTGTTAATTTTGATTTGTATATACGAGGGAAAAACAAAAATAAAGCCACTTTGGTATTTGATCTAGACATAGACCAAACTCTAAGGAGGCTAAGAAGTGAAGCAAGATTTAAGCAAATTCAAAGAAAGGAACACAAAAGTTCTACACCTCTACCTTAACCCAGTCAGATTCCAGGACAACTAAAGATGGGAGAACAACCAAGATTGAGAACACTAGGGGACTATGCAGTTCCTAATTTACAAGGATTCAATTCTTCTATTCTAAGACCTACAATTTAGGCCAACCACTTTGAGATAAAACCTGCACTTCTAAATCTGGTACAACAAGACCAATTTGTGGACACCATTCAAAAGATCCAAATCTGCACATCTCCAATTTCTTGCAACTTTGTGACACAATTAGAATCAATGGGGTAAGTGGGGATGCAATCAATCTTAGATTATTCCCATTCTCACTAAGGGATAAGGCCAAGTGTTGGCTTCAAGCCTAGCCACAAGGGAGTATATCAACATGGGCTGATTTGGTGAACAAGTTCCTAATCAAATATTTTCCCCCTTCAAAAGCTGCAAAAATCATAGGGGAGATTACATCTTTTGTTCAGCAAGATGGAGAGCCTTTGTATGAGGCATGGGAAAGATACAAGGAGTTATTAAGGAAATGTCCTCATTACTGCATACCTGAGTGGATGCAACTTGAAATATTCTGTAATGGAATGACTACTGCAACTAAAACCATGGTAGATGCAGCAGCTGGTGGTTCATTGAGTTCAAAGACTTTGGAAGAAGCCCAGCAAATCATAGAAATGATGGCATCTTCGATGTATCAGAATATGAATGAAAGACAAGTTTCAAGGAGAGGAGGATATGATGTAAAATTCATAGAAGCCATGTTTGCTCAAAGTCAACTTCAGAATCAACAATTTTCTGAACAGATTGCTGCCTTGACTCAACAAATAAGTAACATGCAGACTGGTGTGGTTCAAAATTCACAACTGAGTTGTGATTTCTGTGGTGGCAACCATGTGAATGGAGCTCGTGATCCCACAGTTATAGATCAACCTGATTAAGTTAACTATATGGGCAATTATCAAAGGCCATAGCAACCATATCCACCTGGTTTCCAGCTAAATAACAATAGAGGACAGCAGTTTTCTAAGTGGAATCCACAGAATTCTACTGCAAGAGGAAATACAGCTACTTCACCTTTCCAAAGTGCAGCTCCTCAAGTCCAGCAACAATATTTTCAAGGAAGTTCTTCTGTACAATTTCAGAAAACCAAAGGTATTCAAATTCAAGACCCTTGAGTGAGAAAGTGAATGGAATTGAAGAGACACTACTGCAGTCTATGAAGGTGACATAAACTAATTTCAAAAATCAAGAAAGTTCTATAAAGAAGTTAGAAACACAAATTAGGCAGTTGGCTGAGCAACTTGCAAATAGAGATGAAGGAAAGTTCCCTAGGAGCACAATAGTGAATCCAAGCTATAGCCACTAGAAGTGAAGCAGTAGTTTCCAGCCCAAGAAAGAAAGATGAAGCCACCAATTCGAAGGAAGAAAGTGAGCTGAAACAAGAAGATTTTGAAAGTGGGAAATATACTATGTTAAAGAGAGGAGATGATGAAGAAAATTGCAAAAACAAGCAAGATAAAAGGGGCAAGAAGCAGAGATTTGAGCAGGCCTGCAAACCTATTAATGAAGAGCAGTATAAGAGATTACCTTTTCCAAAAAGAGTACAAGATCCTTGACAAGAAAAGCAGTGTGAAAGGTTCATTGATGTGTTCAAGAGGCTCCAAATTAATATACCATTTGCAGAGGCATTAGAACAAATGTCTTCATATGCAAAGTTTATGAAAGAGCTCTTGTCTAAAAAAGGAAGCTAGACATGGAAAAATTGGTACCACTCACTAAAGAGTGCAGTGCCATTTTACAGAGAAAACTGCCTCAAAAGTTGAAGGATTCAGGGTCATTTAGCATACCCTGCTCTATTGGAAACTGCACAATAGGAAAAGCTCTTTGTGACTTGGGAGCAAGCATAAATTTAATGCCTTTAGCCATTATGAAGAAGCTGGGAATTGTAAAGGTAAAGCCAACAGGGATAACACTTCAACTTGCAGACAGATCTTATACATATCCCTATGGAGTAGTGGAAGACCTTTTAGTCAAGGTAGACAAGTTTATATTCCCTGCAGACTTTGTTATACTTGATATGGAGGTAGATGCGGATATCCCTCTCATATTAGGAAGGCCATTCTTAGCAACAGGGAGAGCCTTAATAGATGTGCAGAAAGGTGAATTAATGCTAAGAGTACAAGAGGAGAAAGTCATTTTTAATGTATTTGAGGCCATCAAACATCCAAGTGATGATATGAGCTGCATGAAGATTGATGTAATAGATGTTGTGTTACCACATTCATTGGAGAAAAATGATGAAAGTGCAGTCTTGGAAAGCATATTAGCTGCAGTAAAATGTAGTATTCATGAAGAGTAAGATGAGGAAGTGAAAGACTTCATTCTGCAATTAGATTCCCTTTCCTGTATGAACAATGAAATAAACCAATTCAAGGAAGAACTACATCAAGAAGAGAAGAAAGAAGAGCCCAAAGTGGAGCTCAAGCAATTACCCTTTCATTTGAGGTATGTGTTTCTTAAAGAGGGCCATAACAAACCTGTCATAATAAATAGCAATCTGTAGAAAGACCAAGAAGAAAAGCTCTTGAGGGTGTTAAGAGAGCACAAATCTGCACTAGAATGGCAGATTTCAAATTTGAAAGGTATAGATCCTTCTTTTTGCATGCATAGAATTTTATTTGAAGAAAAATGCAAGCCTGCTGTCCAACCTCAAAGAAGACTTAATCCAACTATGAAGGAGGTAGTGAGGCAAGAGGTGATGAAACTACTAGATGCAGGAGTTATTTATCCAATTTCAGATAGTTCATGGGTAAGTCCGGTTCATGTAGTGCCTAAGAAAGAAGGTATAACTGTTGTTCCAAATGAAAAAAAATGAATTAATACCCACTAAGACAGTAACTGGAAGGCGAATGTGCATAGATTATAGGAAGTTGAATGATGCATCAAGGAAAGATCATTTTCCTCTTCCATTTGCTGACCAAATGCTAGAGAGATTGGCTGGGTTTGACTACTATTGTTTCCTAGATGGATATTCTGGTTACAACCAGATTGCAGTTGACCCAAGAGACTAAGAAAAGACAGCATTCACTTGTCTTTTTGGAGTTTTTGCATATAGAAGGATGCCATTTGGGCTGTGTAATGCTCCAGCCACTTTTCAAAGGTGTATGCTGTCCATTTTTTCTGATATAATTGAAAGAATTATAGAAGTTTTTATGGATGATTTTTCTATATTTGGTAATTCTTTTGATCAGTGTCTAGCTAATTTATCTCTTGTTTTGCAGCGTTGTCAAGACTCAAATCTTGTGCTCAATTGGGAAATGTGTCATTTTATGGTACAAGAAGGAATAGTCTTAGGACATAAGATTTCAGCAAGGGGAATGGAAGTGGATCCTGCAAAAGTAGAAGTGATTGAGAAGCTGCCTCCACTAGTAAATGTTAGAGGAATAAGAAGCTTTTTGGGACATGCTGGATTCTATCATAGGTTCATTAAAGACTTCTCTAAAAATACAAAACCATTGAGTGAGTTGCTGAGTAAGGATACAGAATATTTTTTTTTTATGATAAGTGCTTAGCAACTTTTAATACTTTGAAAGAAAAATTAATTTCTGCACTTGTACTTGTTAAACTAGATTGGGAATTACCTTTTGAGCTGATGTGTGATGCTAGTGATGTAGCTATAGGAACAATTTTAGGCCAAAGAAAAAACAAAAAACTGCATGTTATTCATTATGCTAGTAGAGTTCTTAACCCTGCACAAATTAATTACACTATTACTAAAAAAGAACTCTTAGCTATAGTTTTTGCATTTGACAAGTTTCGGTCTTATTTGATAGGGTCCAAGGTTATAGTTTACACTGACCATGCTGCTCTTAAGTATCTTTTGTCAAAGCAGGATGCTAAGCCCAGATTATTAAGGTGTATTTTACTCCTTCAAGAATTCGAGTTAGAGATCAAAGACAAGAAAGGGAAGGAGAATGGAGTTGCTGACCACTTGTCAAGATTACCACTTGAGGCAATACCATTTGAAGTATAGCAAATAAAAGAAGAGTTTCCAGATGAGAGCTTATTCAAGATTGAATCTCAGCCTTGGTTTGCTGATATGGCCAACTTTAAAGCTACAAATCATGTTCCAAACTGGATGAGTTGGCAGCAGAGAAAGAAATTCTTCCATGACAGCAAATATTATGTGTCGGAAGATCCATTGTTGTTCAAAATTGGAATAGATCGGCTGCTGAGAAGGTGTATACTAGAGGAAGAGCAGGAAGATGTTTTGTGGCATTGTCATAGTTCAGAATATGGAGGACACCATGGTAGTTCAAGGACAACAGCCAAGGTCCTATAATCTGGTCTTTTCTGGCCCACATTGTTTAAGGATGCTAAGAACTATGTGGAGAGATGCAATAGATGCCAGAGAATGGGAAATATTTCCAGGAAAAATGAGATGCCACAGCAAAACATACTTGAGATAGAGCTATTTGACATGTGGAGAATAGACTTCATGGGTCCTTTCCCTACTTCATTCTTGAATGAGTACATGCTAGTAGCAGTGGACTATGTGTCCAAATGGGTGGAAGCAATTCCTACTAGATCCAATGATGCAAGGACTGTTATTTCATTCATCAAAAAGAACATTTTCTCAAGATTTGGAGTTCCCAGAATTCTGATAAGTGATGGAGGAAGCCATTTCTGCAACAAATATCTAGAATCAATCCTAGAGAAGTATGGAGTCAAGCATAGAATAGCTACACCCTATCACCCTCAAACAAGTGGTCAAGTGGAGGTTTCCAACAAAGAAATAAAACAGATTTTGGAGAAGGTGGTGAGTAATTCAAGGAAGGACTGGTCCAAGAAAGTGGATGATGTTCTGTTGGCATATAGGACAGCCTTCAAGACACCAATTGGCATGTCTCCTTATTAGCTAGTGTATGGAAAGGCCTGCCACTTACCAGTGGAGTTAGAACATAAAGCCTTTTGGGCTGTAAAATGGTTGAATTTTGACCTTTTGTGGTGAAAGAGGTATTTCCATATGGTGTTGTACTAGTAGTAGATCCAAAGGATAGGAGAGAGTTCAAAGTGAATGGGCAGAGACTAAAAATTTACCATGGTGGTCAAGTAGAGAAAGCCCAAGTGTGTATGAAATTGGTTCTTCTTGAATGAGGAACAACTAGTGTCAAGCTAGTGACATTAAAGAAGCGCTTTGTGAGAGGCAACTTACATTTCTAACCCATTTTAAGCTTTCTGTAGTATTTTAGAATTTTGCATATTCATGTTTTGCAAATTTCTGCTTTTCTGCAAATATTCTGTTAAGTCTCTTTTCTAAGGTACATTTGAGTACTTAAATTGAGATTCAATTCTTAGAGTGTGTAATTGAAGGATTAGAGTGTGAGAAGTGAGTTAAGATTTAGAGGCATTTAATTAATGAAAGGAGTCACTATTTTGCAGGAAAGAAGCTATGCAGAGAATACATTTTGAAGATCTCTGCTGGAACAATCACTTTTACTGACAAAAGTGACCACTCAAAGACAGATGGGAAAACTAACTCTCTGGAACGCTTCCTTTTACTGGCAAAAGTGGCTATGCATAGGTAAGTAGACTTACAATCTTTGTGCGTTACTCCTTTTATTCAAAAAGTTGTCACGAGGCTGTGCGTTATCACTTTGCCCAGCAATAGTGATAACGCACCCCTCACCCTGAAAAATCAACTCTTTGGAACACTAACTCTGATTAAAAATAGTGATGACGCTAGGACCATTTAATGATGCAACGTTCACTTTTGATTTTAAAAGTGGTCACGTGCCAAGCGTAACTATAAATACTCCTTAGAGTAAACACACACACACACTCTTCACTCTTAAAATTTCCTTTATCTCTCTGAGCATTTTCTGCATTCTTAATCGCTATGTTTGTCGACCTAGCAACATGTTTTTCATCCACAGTTCTGCATTTTCCTACCAGCTACGCTTACCCTCATATCTCTGAATCTAAAGTTAGGGTTTTATGTGTTGATGTTTGGGGAACATATCGAATAGGGAAAAAGAGGGCATTGTTTTGATTTTATTTTATTCAACAATAAAGAAGATAATACTCTGAATGGTGTTTCCTGATATCCATGACATTTTTAAGGAGATTCAATCTGCATTGTGCCATTGCTCTGAACAAAATTTCTGTAGAAATGAGATTGGCTTAAAAAGACTTCAGTAAAAATGTTTGAACTGAAATTGTTATTCAAATCAGAATAGTAATCTGTACTTCTAACTTTTAATCCATTTTCGATAAAAAAGAAATACTTTGAATAAAAATTGTGAAAATGATTGTTTGGAGTTACATTCTGCAATGTTTTCTGGTTTTAAGTTAGAAAAAAATCTCAAATAAACAATGAGAAACTATTCTGGTATTATTTGATTCAACAATAGAATGAACAAAATGTTGAATAAGTGTTCACTATCATTCATGATATTTTTAAGGAAAGTCGAACCTACATTGCACACTATTTGAACCAAATTTCTGCAGAACCCAATATGTCTAAATAGACTTTTATGTAAGTGTTAGAGTGTGAGAAAGTGTGCACTCTGAACTTACAAATTAGGGATATCAATTTAAAAATTTTCTGAATATGGTTGATCAATTTTGTGCATCTGTGCTTTTATATCTGAATTTTGACATACCCTGTTCTGCTAAAGTAGCTGTTATGCTGAAATTACAGAGTTTGTTGGAAAATAGATTGATAACCTGTAATAATCCCTCTGCGTTAACCTAATATGCTCTGAGAGTGTACACTCTGAACTCATCTATTAGGATTTAATATGCTTTGACTGTGAATGCTTAATATTGTGCAGTTGTACTTTTGTATATGTATGATTAATTTTGTCTAATAGTAGACTGCATGATTATATTGTTAGAAGAAATGAATTTCTGCAAATTGCTTGATTGAACTTTCTTCAGTACAGAGATCTATACTTTCACCATTATGTGTTACAAATTTAAACTGTCAAATTACTTTCTTTTTGCAGAAACTTAAAAATGGCCAAAACTTCTTTGAACACACCAGTTGGCTCCTCCAAGAAAACTCAGGCTGGATCTTCCAGCAATACTCCATAGAGGAGATACAACAGGAATATTCAAGCTGGAACCTCCAGAAACACACCCAAATCAAAGAAGGTCAGAACAGATGATGCATCAGCTTCATCTCCAATTGAATTATGCGATCCAAGATTCAGGAGCATTGCTCATGAAAACTTCTTCAAGGCATATATCCTGATGAGGAAAATTGTCCCTAACAGAGCATTCAAAATTGTTGGGGACAATTACCCAGAATACAGAGAGAGGATCCAGAAGATGGGATGGGAGTCCTTCTGTTCT